TTCCCAGCCAGCTTGCTGGCTGGGGAATTCTGGGAGTTGAAGTCCACACATCTTCACGTTGCCAAGATTGAGAAATAGTGCTCTATAGTCTCCTCCCTCAGGCTCTGCCAAGGTTAAAGACTTGTTCTTTTTAAATTACAGTTTGACCGTTTTAAATCTAAGCTTGCTGGAGTCCAGAGCTGCTCCAAGATGGTGGCTGGAAGGCTGCAGCTCCTTTAATCCAGAAGGGACCATTTTTTGGGGAAAAATACTCCAGAATTACATACTCAAGCAATAGCCAATTTTTTCTTTCTCTGTTTTTACCTTACACACAGTCACTACGGTGGCTTTCTGCCTTTCCCCCAGCCAGATGCCTGAGAAGGGATGTTGTGACATTGAGCCCCTGAGCGTAGCAGCTGTAGCATCTCCTTGGTGCCTCCGAATTCCCCAGCGCTCTCATGACCACCCATCAGTTGCAGAGATTCCTACAGCAGCAGCCCTCTTACTAGGAACCCATCAGCAAATGGCAGAAACACATGAGGCTTGCTGAGAATAGGGAGTCAGCAGCAGGAGGCATTTCCTGGTCTGGATAAGGCATCCACCTAGCCATGGGAGAGCTCCTCTAGGATGTGCCCAAAGCCATGTCAGAGAGAGAAGTGAGCATCCTTCCAGCCTCCGTGCTTCCTTCCATACTAGCTCAGAAGGCTAATAAACGCAGCATGCATGAAGGAAAACCTTCTAGTGTCTGCTGGGAGATGACAGATGCTTCAGAAATGCTGAGAACGTTTATTCAGAAGTAGGGAGTTAGGGGGTTAAATTTGCTTAAGTCAATTTAAATTATGAGATACCTCTCCCTCCCTCTCTCCTTCCAGCAACCAAAAAAACCTGGATGAAATAGTGGTAAGATGAGACAGAGAAAGGAGCAAGTCTAGAGCAAGGTGATAGGAGGGACAAGAAGGAAGAAGAAAGAAAAGGCTGGTCAGAAAAGCAAGAAAGAAGAGAGAGAGAAGGCTTTGCCTGCACAACAAAAAGGGTTCAATATAAGCTGCCCCTCCTAAACTGCCCTCCCCCCGCTCATTCCTTTGCTTTCTCCTAGCTTCTGTTTACAAAGGCCAATGCCAGAGGGCTCTCCCTCTTCCCCATTCATATTCTTCAGTGCTCAGAGAGATGCCAAGTTCATTTTTTAGGGCTTACCTAAAAAGCAATTAGTCAGACTTTTTCTAGTTTAACTTTCATTAAAATTAATTCCAGAAGCTTCTTTGTTTAATTCCTGCAGCCTAACCTGATTTGCTCTGAGGATTTCCACCCCACTCACCCACCCCCAGTTGTTTTTCAGGCCAGTGAGACATTCTGCTCCCTCTTGTGACATTGGTTCGTCCCTCTGTTGCAGAAGTCTGTATGGTGGAACCCTGACCTCTTCCTCTCACACCAGCCTAAGCCCTACAAGCTCGCCGGTCAATGAGATGGCTTTTGAGAAGCCCAGCCTCCCTTCGGCGACAGACTGGTCCGAATTCCTAAGCGCCTCCGCCAGTGAGAAGGTGGAAAACGAGTTTGCACAGCTGACACTCTCTGACCATGAGCAAAGAGAGCTCTACGAAGCTGCCAAGCTGGTCCAGACGGTCTTCAGGAAATACAAGGTGAGTAGCAGTGGGAGAGAGGCAGATGAGAAGTGATGAGAGGATGCTGAAGCTTCCCATTCTCTGGTGCCTGGGAAAGAAGACTAGTTTCTGCCAAAAATGCAGTGGAAGCCAAGTAGAAAGTGAGGATTCATGCTTGTCTCCTATGTATCTAGAAGGAGGCAGCACCAAAAAGCTCCACAGAGTCTCAAGGCAGGCAGAGTGACTCTTCTGCCAAAGAGTGGGTGCCTCAAGAATTCTAATGCAAGGTCCTGTTCAAGAATATTTGTGTTACTTGAGATGTTTGACCTCCTGCTTACCTGGAGGATAGTGATAAGGGTTCTTCTCCATGTCTCCCCTGCTTTCCATCAGGAACCACCCATAGTGAAAAGGATGTCTTACAGAAGCAAGCAGAACATCTCAGGATGATGCCTTCTGTGAGATTCAAAGCAGTTGAAGCTGCTTTGCTTGCTGGATTGAGGTCCCAATCCATCTCCTGCTAGGAGAAAACCAGCATCTAGGCTGTGGGTGGGATGCGTATCCAGAGTCTAGTTGGGGTCCTCTTGTTCAGATACTCATCTTGGCTGTAGCTTGTCCAGGGTTGTTTTATTTTACTGCGCAGATAAACAAAGACTCAACCTGCTTGCCCAGCCAGGGTTGAGACCAGAAAGCCACCAAGGAACAAGGAGCAAGAGCTGAAAACAACAGATAAATAATAAAGTGCTAAAAACAACAGATTCTGTTCAAGGAGCAAGAAAACCACAGCCCACCTTTTCAGTCCTGTCTAGAAAGGAATATGGTTACACGTCAGTGGAAATAGATACATCCTTGGAGTGATGATCAATCAAGCTAGATTGTAAGTACAGTGAGGAGAAGGAAGGAGAAGAAATGAATAGAAGAAGAAGGATTGTTCCAAACTGGGTCAGTCAAGGGCCAGACAGGTTTGGAAAACACACAGGCATGGACAGGAGAGAGGGAATAGCCATTTTTCCCATCACTCCACAGCAGCTACCTTACCTTTCATAAGACAGAAATGCACAAACCATCAGCTAATCTAGACTTAATACTAACATCATAATTGCGAATCATTTCAGTGAAATGTAGAAAATTGAAGGACAGTGTAGCTAACAGAAATGTTTAGTGGAGTCTGGAAAAGGGAAAAAAAGACACACATCATAGATAGAAAGAGGCTAAGGTCATCATGCAAAGGATCTTGAAGTCAATTGTCTGGATCCCTTTTAGTCCAGATTAGACCTGGATGTGGGATGGAAACTGCATTAGTTGCTCTTGTGGATGACTTCCATCAGGAGTCACTTGAATGGTGGGAGTGCATGTCTCTTGTTTTGAAGTTCTCTTGGCTGCTTTTGGTACTATCAACCATGATATTGGTTGATGGTACAAGAATTGAAAGTCAAGGGTAATATATTATGGTGGGTCCATTTCTTCCTGAGCTGGCCCTCTATATGGGGCACTATAGGGCTCAGTATTTAATATCTACATGAAACCCTGGGGGAGGTCATCCAGTAGTTTGGGTGAGTTATCCTCAATATGCTGATGATACCCAGCTGTACATCTCTACTCAGAGTGGAATTGGAGAGAGAGTGGAGGTTCTTACCAGATGCCTCTAAGGGCCTGGAGGAACAAAACAAGTCGAGACTGAATCCTGGCAAGACAGAATGGCTATTTAATCCAGCAACCACAGTAGTTGAGGGGCTTCCCCACTCACTCAGGATAGGGTGTGGCTCTCCCTGAAGAAGTAGGTCTGCAACATTGGGGGGCTCCTGGATTCATGGGTCCGCCTAGATCAACAGATAGAAGCCATGACCTAGGGTGCCTTTGCACGGCAGTAGCTAGTGCACCCGTAGCAGCCTTTTCTGCGTGGAAGGCTCTGGCAATGCTATTTACTTCCAGGTTGGATTACTGAAATGCACTGTACCTGGGGCTGCCTTTCAAGGCTGCTCCAAAGCTGCAGTTGGTGCAGGATCTTGCACACTGGCTGGTCTGAGATGGTTCAGCACTATAGCAGTTATATTGCAGGTGCTGCGCTAGCTTCCAGGAGGAGTCCAAGTGCATTTCAAGGGGCTGGTTTTGACCTCAAAGTCCCTTCAGGGTGTGCGCCCAGTAGATCCACTGGACCACCTCCTTCACGTTGACTTTAGCCAACCTATTTGTTCTGCTCCTAAGAGGGTGCTATTGGTACCCTGAGTTTGGAGGTGAAACAGGCAGGGGCAGAGTCCTCATCCTCTGGAAATAGCTCGCCACCCCCAGCCCCAGCCTGAGATTTGGTTAGCCTCTCCTTTGGTCATCTTCTGGAAAACTCTTCAAGCCTGGCTTTGACCATTAATATCTGTCTGGCAGTATGCTAGCTTAACATTATTTTATTTACCTTACTTATTAAATTTACAGGCTGCCTCAATCTGTGCAACTCTGGGTGGCTTACAAGATACAACAGTAAAAAAGCAATAAAAACGCAGCATATATAACCCAAATGGAAGTCTAGAGGAAAACAACAATTAAACAGCTATGAAGGGTCTGCTACCCAGTCTTCCTCAGGGACTGGGGATAGAGCCAGGCTCCCTCTTAAACAGGGCCAGAGCAGGGGCTGTATGAATCTCAGGTGGGTTGGTGTTCCTGAGGGCAGGAACCATGACTACAAAGGAGAGATTCCTGTGTCCCACCAGGTGACATTGTTTAATCCATGGGACCTGGAGTGTGCCAACTCTGTCAGATTGTATGGGACAAGCAGAAACTACTGGAGATTGGCAATATGTTATATTGTTTTTAATTAGGGTTACTTGGTTCGAAGGTTTTACTCTTCTTTGACTAAGGTTGTGAATCATCTGGAGCTGTGCAGTTGTGACAATGTATGATGATAAAAGTAAAATCAAGATGAAAATCAGGTTAAAATCAAGACTTTCTAGTCTTGGAACTAGAAAGAATGAAAAATGAGCCAAGGTTGGCAAAATAAGATGCTAACAGCAGCATAAAGATATATTTAAGATATATTTAAATATATTTAAAATACATCTTGCCAGATGAACCTAATCTCTAGTTTTGATTATGTAACATTTTTAATAAAACGTGAGAACACTGGAGACATTATATAATGTCTATATAGCTTGACTTCAGCAAAGCATTTGATAGTCCCCTTAGACATTCTGATTAGCAAGCAAGTTAAGCATTTGATGGGTGGCATAACATATAGCTAGTTGAGAAATGGTACTCTAAGCATGCTAATCAGCGGGTCCTCATCAAACTGGACTGACATATTAGCCAAGCGGCCCCAGGATTTGGGCCTGGTGGAGCATCTTCAATGTTTTTATCAATCTGTTGGATGAAAAGTTAGAGGGAATGGTTATCAACTTTTGGGATGTCATAAAATTGGTCGGATGGACAACATGCATGCTACAAGAGAGAAAATTCAAAATGGGCTAGAATAATTAGAATAATGGGCTGAAAATAACAATGAAATTTAAGAGAGATAAATAAAAACTTCTCACTTAGGAAAATGAAACACACAAACATAGGATGGGGATAACTAGCTTGATAATAGTTTTTGTGAAAAAGATCTTGATTATAAACTCAGTATCAGTCAGCAGAATGATGTGGTTCCAAAAAACAAAACAGTTCCAAAAATTAGAGCCAGCTTAGAACATCATGTCTCGATTATGGCACCATCACATCACCACGAAGGGCTGAAACAAATGATGGGTTCAGAGAAGGGCAATGGAGATGCTCAGGGAAAACTAAGTCTTGCAAAAAAAAAAAAAATCAAAGAACGGGGACTGTTTAGCCCTGGGAAGAGATGTGTTGTTCTAATGCCCCATGGGCCATATCTTGAAAATATAGTTCTTCTGAACGTTTCCCCGAAGTGCTTTGCGAATGCACAGCGTTCAGTTCCCCTCCAGGAAGGTGGTTCTTGTGTGCCTGGAAGACACTGTTTCCTGTAGAAGTTGGTTTGGGCATCCATCACTCCAGTTGCTTTCCTGAATTAGCATCCAGCCATGTTCCCATTTTCCTGCTGCACTGCAGTTCCTTTCTTTAAGAAATGATTTCACTGCTGTTGACCTGTTCATTCCCTTTCTTTTCCAGGGGCGTCCCCTCCGGGAGCAACAGGAAGTGGCTGCAGCTGTCATTCAGCGTTGTTACCGGAAATACAAGCAGGTGAGAGGACCCCACTGGCATGTTTTAAGAGACCCGTTGTACGCTTGGCACTTCCAAATAATTGTGTGGTGCTGACTCAGCCCATTTGGGCCATGGTTACCTCCTTTGGGGGGTGTTTCTCTGAAAAAGAACCTCCTGCTCTTCCTCTTGGCTTCCTCACTAGAAGGACATCTCAGAGAGATGCAGAGGGGCTTCAGTTTCAGTTGCTTTGCACTAACTCCCCAAGGGGAACTTCAGCCATTCAGTCTTCGTTCATCACCAGCGCATTGGATGTCTAAAGCATCCATTCGGCCACCTGATCCTTTGACACTGTTAAAAGTTCTCGGTGTGTTTGCAGACCTCACTCGGAAGGTGGATCAGCTGCAAAACTGACCACACTCCCCATTGTCCAGAAGGAGAAGCTCTAGTGCATAAGCTCTGCCCTTCCTTCCCCATGTAGCCCCAGTGCACGTAGGGCTCTGGTCCCAACATCCACAAATTTCTGAGAATATTTGTAAATGGCTGCATGTAGGTCTCTCTTCCATCTGCTTGAATATTGTGAAGATTCGGGGGCACTAGGATAGAAGGCTGCATATCAGAGAGAAGATATCCTGGCTGCTTCTCAAGGCCATCTCCCTGGCATGCATTATTCCCACCCTGCATTGTTGATAGCAGCTTGTAGGGCAACTAAAAGGGGACTTCTCAGAAAGCTTGCAGTGTCTGTAGTGCTTTGGGCTACAGCCGTGGTCACCCAATGATTATGCCAGTGGCCTGTTGTGGAGAAAGGAGGAGGGCCTGCTGGCTTGCTTGTAAGGGACGTTTTTGCAACCGCCCTTTGCTGTAGAGTTGTCCCTCTAGGTCCCAATGCCCTCTGTTGTGTTCAAAGGCAGACAATAAGCCTCTGAAAAATTACAGATTTCCTCATGTACGTCACGCTGGGCAGCTGCCCGGAGCAGGGAGGAGGCAGCCTGCGGTCAGAAGGGACTTTTCCTTTCTCCACATTGAAAGCAGAAAGGGGGCAGGTTGACAGTCAGCTGGCAGTGTTCCTCTGGGGTGTGAACTCATCTCGGGCCACTCCATGGTGGCAGTGGCTGTTCTTTGTCACACACCCCTCCTTTAACTCTGCGTGCTTTGCGGGAAGAGAGACAGAGTGCTGTTCTGCTGGCTCTCCCATCTGAGCACCGCCTCACCCCCCGTCCCTGGCAGGGCTCCCCACAGAACTGCTGCTGCTGAACCCTCTTCTTCGCAACCACCTCCCCACCCCCCACCCCAGTTGCTGGTGATCTTGAACATGACCGGCAGCCTCCAGCTTCTGTTCGCTTTCAGAGAAGCCCTTTGAGAGCCAGCGGAGACTCCAGAGGCTGCCTTGGCCCTCGCTCTGTGCTGCCGATGATGGAAGTGGCCGACTGTTAACGTTAATCTTGTATTTTCTGTTTCTCCCACCCAAGCTTACTTGGATAGCCTTGAAGGTAATGACGCAATACACCGAGCTTCTGAGCTTTGCACATTCTTTGCAAGCCAGGGAGAAACGTTTGTTTTGCTAGAACACATCTGGACTATATCTGGCTGTGGAGGCTGGGTACCAGCGCTGCTGCTTTGCTATGAATGCCAGCCTGTCCTGTAGGGGGAGGAGGGAACTCTTCAGGGTCCCCGAGCCAGAGACACGCAGCTAGGAAGGTAGGGTGGTGGGGCCTTAGGTGGGACATGCTTCCCTCTCACAGAGCTCTTCAAGCAGTGGTTTAAACAGGACCCCTGCCCAGAGGGGGGGTGGGACCTGTGGGCCTTTCCAGCTCTCAGCTTCTCCAGTTCTAGGCTGCATGAAGGAGGGGAAAGGAGAGGAAGCCAACATCGCTAATTTCAAATGCTATATTGGTTTAGTAACATGAACGTGTCTAACCAGTTGCACCCTTTGGCCAGAGCAATAAAGGTTTGCTGTATTTATTTATTTATTAAACAAAACGGAAGACCTAGAGAAGGACCCTTGAGTATTTCTGTGGACATGGCTTTCTGCGCAAGCCACCGCCTCCGCTCTGACCTCAGCCAGGCACATTTGCAAGGATGGGCAAGGCCAGGCTTGAAGGCTAAATTACAGGAATCTTGGATGATTCCACAGGTGCAGATTGATGTTTTGATGCAGCTTGCAGAGAAGGATGGTTTTTCCTCAAAAATGCAATTTGGCGACCCTTCCCCACCCTGCCATTACATTAAACGCAGCCAATTATACTGTTTTTCCAATGCTGTTTGTCATCTAAGGGGAGGCTACTGTACTGGAATCACTACTGAGGAGTGTCCTGTGCTTTTGATAAAAACCCAGGGCAGCCGCTAACTATGCGGTGAACCTCACCTGTTGCTTAAGGCACCCCTTTTCCAACCCCCAATCCAGCAGGTTGCTTCCCCAATGGCTCCTTCCATGAAAACAGTCTGGTTTCCCTCATTTTGTATTTTGGACTGCAATACAAATCCAGGAAGAGTTTGGGGGCCTGCTTCCATCATGTCACCCTTCTTCTTGCAGAGCCCACAAGAAGCCCCATTGCTCGCAGGATCTTTTCTGGGTAACGAAATAAAACTAACAACAGAGTTAGGTGTGTGTCCAAGTACCAGGCATTGGTGGCCAGAAACTGGGGCAGCAACTGCATCTTATCCGATTTGGGACCTTCCCCTTTGCTTGGCTCCTCCTATGGGGGACAACTGGTTCAACCTGACAGTGTAGTGACTAGGTTCGCATAACAGACTTAACTTAGTCGCTTAAAATTCCAGTAACCACATTCACAGAACAGGCAAAGCTTGGTTAGTTTTGACCTTGATTCGTTTTTCGGTGGCAGAGCATAATCCTGCTAGGTTTATAATTCCGTAGCTTTGTTCACAACACGCTTAGTCTTGCTACCAAATTAATCCTATTTCTGGGTCCATACAATGCCTTGAACTGTAACCTAACCCAAAGTGCTGGATTTGTACAACACAACAACCATTATTTGTTTTTCTGCTTATTTATTTAAACCATTTATACAGCTGCCCAACTTAGTATGATTCTGGGCAGCATACGGAAAAAAAGTCATCAATGTACAAAAGAAAACTACACATCCCATTAAGACCAATTAGGACAATAAAATGGCAATTAATCCTACTAAAGATTAGCATGTTGTCTGAATACAGCCAGTAGGTCTTTACTTGACCTTGTTAAGCTTGTGTGAGCAGAGTCTCTGTTTTTAGCCCACAGGATCTGACATTGAAGAAAAGAGAAATGCATGCTGCATAAACACTGCAAATATGTATGGTGGACCCAGGTTGTTTAATTGTGGGAATCCAGCCAGTCCTCCTTTGTTAAATGCAGAGGCTGTATGGCACCTTTGGCATCAGGTCTGTTTGTTGAGTGTCTGTGAGAAGAGGCATGTCAATTCTCATCATATATGTGCTAGTGCCTTGGATAGAGGTTGATGTGCATTTTGGCCCCATGACATCTTCCTCCTCCTCCTCTTCCTCTTCTTTACTTTCGGCCTCATGATGAGGGTGCCCAAGTTGTTCCGGGCCGGTAGCCCCCTCTACCTACTGGTTGTCAGGCACATATCCTGCTCCAGAGCCCCAGAAATGCCATCTGTGTCAAAAGCCTCATCTTCTAGCCTCCTGCCTTGTTGGGTAAAACACAGGGGGAGTGGGGGGCACACTGGTCTTTGATTTCTGTAGCCCTACGTCTCCCTCCTCTTTTGACTTAATAGAGCCGTTAGTTCTGCATCTTCAGGCCCTTTTATTACAGCAGAATTTTTCCATCAAGACCTTTGACTCGATTTCTGTAACAAATATCTGTACCTTTAGAAAGATATTTACTTGAATTAATTTTAAAAAGCAGCCAAAAAAAAAAAAAGCAAGATGGTTTTTCTGGCAAAACCCAAAATCTGTTTTGGCAGCAGAGTGAAATCTGATGAATGTCTTGGCCAAGCTTATAGTGATCCAGATAAACCTCCTTAAAAATGATTGCGCTTTCCGCAGAATAGGGAAACATTTTCTTTTTCTCCCAGCAGAAGGATGTTAAGGAGCACATGCCTACTTGGAATAATTCCATAATTTAAAAAATATTTCAGTCATTGTTCTTTAAAATCCTACTTAAGTTTGAGACTCTCCAAGCATTTAGACAGTACAGCATTAAGTGACATTCAGCACGGGTGGCTGAGTTGCAACAGGTGAATCTCCCTCCTATTTGGGATACACCCCATGCTTTTCAAGACTTTGTCTTCACATTCTTTAAGCAGTGGAGAACCGCTTCAGACTCAGAACAGTGGGCAAGAAACAGAAGGATAAGATGACTTTATATCTGCAGATATCATGCATTGTGCAGTTTTCTGTTCCCTGTAGAGCAAAAAGGGAAATACTTGTTCATTTACTGCAGAGAATGTTCTGTTTGCCAGAGAGTGTGGCCAAGCAGCTTCAGTTTCTTTCTCTCTTTCCTCCCCACCCCCCTCCTGCCCTCTTCCCTTGCAGTATGCACTTTATAAAAAGATGATCCAAGCTGCCATCCTTATCCAGAGTAAATTCCGAAGCTATTACGAGCAGAAGAAATTCCAGCAGAGTCGGAGAGCTGCTGTCCTCATCCAGCAATTCTATCGCAGCTACAAAGAATTCGGCAAGAGGAGGCAAAGTCGTCGGACAGCTGCCCTTGTGCAACAGAAGCTCAGGTGGGCCTCTTTCAGGAGAAGTGCGGGTGGAGAGCTGCTTCTTGATCATCTGGGGCAGACCGTGGCTTCTTCAAAGGGTATGAAATTGCAGTTGCCCTTTGAGGAGCTGACCAAGATCTACTTTAGGCTGCAGGAGTAAAAATAATAACTTCTAAAGCAGGTTCACTCCCAGCTTCTGTGTGACTGACAGCTCCATGGAAAGACCACGTAAGGCAGGAGGAGAACAGAAGCCAACAGATGAAGGAAGAGCAGAACAGTTGTATTCTTGATTGAAATGAAGATTTGTTCAAGAGGCCATTCCATCAAAACTAAGGACAGAGAAGTTTTAAGAAATCAAACAATACCCATGGAGGATATAAGAAACTTGCAAGATCTTACATAAGACAGTACATAAAACATTAACATAACACAATATAGTTTGCTATCGGTGGTTCAGTTGTACCTATTTGTGCCCTTAGTGTGAGAACACCCACCAGCTATTTAGCCATGAGTACAGTGACTACCTTGTCAAACCAGAGAGGAGATAATGCAGTGTGTCTGGGAACAAGGGCAAAAGCAGTTCCTAATGCTGTCTTATTTATTTATTTATTTATTTATTTATTTATTTGTTCGGCTTGTATGCCGCCCATCTCCCCCATGGGTGACTCTGGGCGGCTCACAATAAAAACGAAGAAATACAATTCTTTCCAAGATGGCTAAAAACTATAAATAATTTAAAAACATATTAAAAATACCCTAAAAAACCTCCTCTAATTTTGGCCCTATAAAAATCTGTAAGATTTTTTACATGATGGGCAACCCATCATCCCACCAGCCATCTCCACAGGTGCGAGCCCCCCTCTGGCCCCCAGGCCTTCTGGCAAAGCCAGGATTTATTTAATGCCTTTCCTGAAGGCCATGAGGGAGGGGG